CCGGAGCCGAACCCCCCCCTCCAGCCCCGGGCTCCGCAGCTGCCCAGATGTGGCAGCACAGCTGGAGGAGCGGCCGCAGGTGAGGCGGGGGCTGGTACCGGCGGGATAGGGAGTGCTTCGGGGGACCGGGGGGGAGAGGGGGGCTGCCCCCGGAACCCTCTCACCCCTCTCCAAGATACGCCCCTACATCCTCCAGTGGAACACCCCACGCTCAGTCCCGTCGGTGGGCAGGGATGGGCAGGGATGGGCAGGGATGGGCAGGGTGCTGGGCGGGGGGGGGGTGGCACTGGCATTGCCAGCCCCCAAACCTTTGTGCCCAAAGCGCTGGAGGCTCTGAGCAGAGCCCAGCGCGCTGTGGGAAGCTGGTGCAGCCTCCCCCACCCTCTCCAGGGTCACCCCCTTGCCCAAAGCCCCGCGTTCCTAACCCCGATCCGTGGTGCTGGCCCTGCGTGCCAGGAGTCCCTCCCGGCCTGATGTGCCGCCGCTCCCGTGTGGATGTGGTTTTCCTTTCCCATAGCTTTGCTGCACCTCCCGTAAATCTTTTATTTGCCACTTGTCTGACCTGCGGGCAGGAGCGTTGCTGAGAGGTTCAGAGGAGCACCGTGAGAGCAGCGATGGCTCAGCCCTGCTTTAATCCACCTGGGGGGAGGCTGAGGTCTCTCTCCGTGCTGAGAATCCCCCGGGAAACCTCCTGGGGATCCCTGCAGCCCCTTGTTCTGCACATGGGGCTGTCCCCTGGGTTCCTCCAAACCCCCCTGGTCTCTGTCCTTGRAGCTCAGCCCCAGTGGGGACATCCCAGGAGCTCCATTGGGGTGGGGGCTGCCTCCCTTTGGGGTGGCACAGGGGTGGCAGGTTCTATGTCGGGGGGACAAGGGGTGAAAGCAGCTTCTCTTCCCATTATTTTGGGAAGAGCTGGATGCGTGCTGGCCTGGCAAATATTCCCCGAGAGCTCCTGGGGTGGAGAGGGAAGCTCAGGCGTTGCCTCAAGCGGTCGGGACCCGTGTGTGTGTGTGTGTGTGTGGTGTGTGTGGGGTGTGTGCGCTGTCTCCCGGCCAGGTGCAAATCCTGCCTTTGGCTGCGGCGATGTTTTGTGTGGATTTACCGGGCGATGCTCGTGGCTGGCAGCCCAGCTCCWTCCCCACGGACGGTTTTCAAGGACTTCCCTGTACAGCTGAGACCGGCCAGCTCTGGGGTGCCCCCGCTGGGGTGCCCCCTGTGCCCACAGCAGCCGGGCTCAGCACTCTGCTCAGTGCTGGCAGCAGGGCCCCCGGGAAGCTGTTTAAGCTGAACTCCAAACAATAAAAACTTATCATTAAAAAGAAATGCATCTTGGCTTCATGTGGCCTGGCAGCGCGGGGAGGAGTGATTCAGTGGCTTGTCAGCCCTGGGCGTTAGGCACGCCGAGCTGCACAACTGGACACTCTCCAAGTCCAGCAACTCATTTTCTGCAGATGGAGCCGGGACCGTGCAGCGGGCTGACGGTTAATTTGCAATCCAACATACCTTGACATAACCCACAGCCGAATGGTGGAGGTGGTGCGGGATGGGATGTTTGGGAGCCAGCGGGGCCGGGCCCTGGCAGCCCTGCCGGGTGTGGGGTGTCCCTGCTGCACCCTGACACGGGGGTGGGTGGGTGTTTGCTGGGTGTGGGGTCCGGCTCGGTGGGTCCCGGGGCTGTTCCCAGCCGGTCTCCGAGCAATGTGGTAACGGGGCCATGGTTTTGGGAGCTTGAGATGCTCAGGGTGAGCCCTGCCCGGGCCAGGGGCCAGCGGGGACACTGGCCCGGCTCATCACTGACTCACGTCCAGCCGTGTCACCTCCTGTTGCCTGTCACAGGGTCTGGGTGTTGCAGTGGATCTGGGTACACGGGTAGGGGCTCCACGGCCAGCTGAGACCCTCAGCCCCACAGCCCTGGCTCCAGCCCCACAGAATTTGTCAGCAGGGGTTGGGGGCTCAGTTTCACTCGGGCACGGTGGTGGCTGGGCACCGATGGGCACGGCCCCTTCCCCGGGGGGCTGACGGGAGGGGGTGCGGAGGGGGTGCTGTCAGCAGCCCAGCCCCAATCGATAGGCATCGGAGAGGATGATTCATGTCTCAGGCTGTGGCCCGAGGGCAAAAGCGGGAGAGAGGTTTGATGTGAGGATGCCGGGAGGCTGCGGGTCCTGCTGGGAGTTGCGGCTCCTGGCAGCGTTTCCCCTCCCGAAGCCGGCTCTGCCCGCACTGCCCCGGGGTCCCGGCTTGGCCTGGGGCACAAAACGACTGAAGCAACACAGGATCAGACCCAAGCACTAAATCAAGTCTTATTTTTTTATTATTATTTTTATTTCAGACACCGTCTTCTGCATTGTGGTCCAAGAGAGTGAGCTGAGTTGCTCTGGGGGTACGGGACAGGGGCTGGGCTTGGGTCAGCTCTGTGCCCCCCGGGGGGACACGACACTCCGGACAGTAGGACAGCACAAGACAGGGCTCGGTGACACTTTACCCTCCTTGCTGTGCTCAGCCACACTCGGACAGCAGCCCTGGGGTGCCAGAGCTGGTGACAGCACCGATGTCCCGTGGGTCCAGCCCACAGAGGGGCCGTGCGGGGCAGACCCGCTGTCCGAGGCACGGAGCGGCGCGGGGGCTGGCCAAAGGCTGCGGGGGGACACGGAGCCCTCCCCCAGGAACGGCGTGTGCTTTCCTTGGCACGGAGCCACGGGAGGCAGAGCCGCCGCTGCACACGCACGGCGTCAGACATCATCATCATATTAATAATGAAAGGGCAGCTCCTTCAAAGCTCTCCGTCCCCGCGCCGGCGAGAGCGCAGAATGCAGAGGAGCTGCGTGAGCCTCATCCCAAGCAGCCGTGGGGAGGTGCCCGGATGGTCCTTGGCTGGTCCTTCACCAGGCCACTGACCTGCGGTGACAAAAACGCGCCCGCTCCCCGCTGCCTGCTGTCCCTGCTGGGAGTTTCACTGCCGGGGGTCTCTGAGTGTCCCGGCTCCTGATCGCGGCTCTGCCCTATGCGGGTTCCCCCTCCTTGGGCAGGAAAGGCCGTTTTGGCTGCAGGGAAGGAGCCTCTCCCGAGGGCTGAGCGCTCTGTGACACGGTGTGACACCGCTCGCTGTGTCGGGGCTTTTTCTTGCACGGGAGGAATCGATGGCTCCGAGAATGAGACAAACCACCCACAGAGGGGTCTTGGGCTGCAGCCAGCCCCGGGTCAGTGGCAGCAGCAGCTCCCGGGGCATCACTTCTGCTCTTCTCCCCRCAGCACATTTGGGTTTTCAAAGCCCCTCCTTTAACACCCCTGTTTTGTCCAGAGCATCCCCAAGCCTGGTCACTCTGTAAGGGTCTCAGCAGGACCAGACCAGGGCTYAGCACCTCTTCTCCTCTCTTCCCTYTGCTCAAACCTTCTCCTTCRCTTTTTGCCCTTCTTGGGGAGCCAGAGYTGGGAGGGCTTTGCTGCAGATGCTCTGGTCTGGGGAGGAAAGAATCAAACCCTCTGTGCCGGTTGGAGATGGAGCAGCCTATCCCATGTCCCCCATCCCATGCCCACCGTGTCCCCACTCTTTGCCCACCCCATGCCCATATACTCTTCCTGGCACCCCAAGTGTATCAGAGGTGCAGCAGTGTCTCAGAGGGTTGAGGGCTGCTCTGTCCCCCCCAGCCCTTCTTTCCCAGCCCTTTCTCAAGCTCTTTTTTCCTCCTCTCTCCAAACACAACAAAAGCCCCAAATCCCCTGCAAACGAGAAACCTCTTTTTGTTCCTCTTTTCCCTTTGCTTTCTGCCACGGCAGAGTATCGATTGGAGCTGATGTGCTGTAATCCTCTGTTTCTGTGAGAAGTTGGCACCCCGGAGTCCCTGGAGGGGCCAGATCCTGCCCTGGTGTGGGTCTTGCTCCTCTGCCAGGCTTGTGGGTAGCAGGAAGGCTGCATCCCATCCCATCCCATCCCATCCCATCCCATCCCATCCCATCCCATCCCATCCCATCCCATCCCATCCCATCCCATCCCATCCCATCCATCCCTGCAAATCCAGGGACTATACACTCGGTGAGGGGGTCATCACGAGCAGCTGATGGGTGGGAAAAGGCTCTGGTTTGGAGCAGAGCCGGGTCAGACCCCACTGGGATGGATATCCAGAGTGCTGGGCTGCTGAAGGAACCCTCCTGTCCTTTTGGCAGGGCAGGGGATGGTGACACAGGGGGACATTGGTGCTGAGAGGCGCTGGTTGGGGGGCTCAGCAGGGGCTCTGCAGAGAGGAACAATTCCTTCCAGGGAGGGCTGTGGAGATTTGGTGCTGAGCCCTGCCTGAAAAGGGCTCATGTGGGGTGCACAGCTGCCTCTGTGGGTCCAGACCCTGGCTGGAGACCCCCCTGCACCCCCACAGTTCACTCCACTGTGCTGCCACTCCATCAAAACTTAATGATGGCAAACCGGCCAGAGAGTGGGAAAGTGAGGGGAGAGAAACCCAGCCAAAAATCGCCAAAAAACACAGGGAAGATTTTAATTTAAAACCTTTTCCCACATGGAGAGCAGCAGCTTGGGCCATCTGGAGGAGCATATGCAG